CACATGACTAGATAATTAAAGTTCACTTTGCAGAGTGTAAATCATCCACTATAATTTGTTTAGAAATGGAATGCGTACACAGCTCCAAATCCAATGTAAAAAATCTTAGTCAAAAGTCCTATTTTGTTAATTGTACAGTACAGGGCACAGGATCTAAGTCTTAAACACGGGTAAAATGGCAGCTCACCCATGGGGTATGCAACACAGCAACCAATGCTAACAGGCCCATATATCAATCAGGTCAAGCAAAGCCTTGACAGACAGTAGCTTGCAGCACCTTACGCCTGAAACTGGTATCAGTGGAGGCCTGAACATTAACTTGAAAAAACTTAAACGTGAATGAAAACAAGGTAGCAGCCTTGCAAATCTGGGAAAAAAGATGCCCCTTGCGGAAAAGTCTATAAAGCACTAATGGATCTGGTAGAGTGCACCTTTACAGTGAAGGGAGTAGCCCTAAATCATAGGCTCGAATGATGACTTGTCTAATCCCGGGTGCTCCATGCAGAAATCTCTGGGATGGACAAAAAGGGTATAAGATTGCAAACAAGGAGAAGCTGTCAAGGTGTAGACTCTCATAGTGTGTTCCTTGTTGAAACAGTAGAGAGAAAATTCATTCATTTTAGTTTTAGTTTCAGTTTACAAAGTACAATTACACTGAACTGGTCACCCCTGCTGTTGCTGGATATCTGATCTTGGTATCCCTTACTATATCCCTAATGGATTCAAAGTGCAGCCTCCAAAGGGCTGAAAGGTTATGGTCCCAGAGAGTCACTGGGGAACATACAGGGGAAGAAATGTGTGCAACATTCCACGCAAAGGCCTTAACTAAGCAATGAGATGCCAGAGCAGAACAACCAAGGCTGAGATTTGCCCCTTGATGGCACCCAAGGCCAGATACTAGTCCAGACAACACAGGAGAAAAGACAGGATATGCCTTACAGAGTAATTTTTAGTGTGAAATTTCCTAGCCTCACACCATGCAAAGCAGACCTTCCAGGTGCAATAGTAGTAGACTTTGAGAGAAGTCTACTTCCTAGCCTTCACAAGGGTAGGAAGGACCACAGGGCCCCTGTGTCTCGGGACTTGGGCTTCAACAGTCATGCCATTAAAGCCAGTGACCAAAAAGCAAAATGGTGGACTGGCTGTTAGTAAAAAAGGATTATCTGAGAGGGCCTATAGAGAGTTCACCAGTAGTCTGAGAATTTCTGAGTATCACTTCTTCCCTAGCCAGTTTGGTGCAATTAGATTCTCAATCATGTGGAGCAGTTGAGGGAGGAGCCATAGAGAAGGATGGAGTCACCAGAGTATCCAGCGTGAAGACCAGAAGGTCCATGGACCTGGCAACAAAACTGTCCAGTTGGTTGTTGAATCTGGATGCCAGAAGTCCTTTGTTCCCCCTTGTAGCAAAGAGCTTATGACTCCTCCATGTAGAAAGTCCAGATGCTGATGGCATAAAATGTCTGCCTGCTATTTTTACATACCTTGCATCTGGACAGATGGGAGGATCAGAATGTCCACTTTTTCCCAAGGTAAAATCATGTCTGGTGCTCTGTCGACAGTTCGTGCAGGCCACTGCCGTGCACTGTCAGACTGGATTCTAGTCAGGAGAGGTTGCAGCTGGGAGGCCCAAAGTTGAAGTTCCATGATGTTGATGAGAAGTCAAGCTTCCTCTGACAATTATGTTCCCAGCACTGAATGGGCATCCAGGACTCCATTCCAGCCTAATGGGCTGGCATTCATTGTGATAACTGTCCACATCTTTAGGGGAAAGGCTTTCCCGACTCCAGCAACTCCAGCAGAGTCGAAAATACACCACAACAGGGAAACTGTTGCGTTGTAGGTCAAACACATGGGACACCTAAATACGTAGTCTGTTTGCCAGAATTTTACAATGGCCTGGAGTAAACCTGGGCATACAGTACTGCCTTAAAGGAAGCTGCTATCACACCTAGGCCCTCGGACAAGCACAAACCAGAAGGCCCGGCATAAGAGCCGAGGGAAAATGATTGACCTGGCCGATTCCATGCAAAACGTTTGAACTCACAGCAATAAGTTGGCAGTTTGCAGACTCAGAATGGGCAGAATGCCTGCATTTGCCTTGGGAACTGTGAACAGGTTCAAGTAGAATCCTTAAAAATCATTCCTTGTTCAGGACTGGAGTAATGACCCCTGGGAAAGGAGCTGCTGAATAGCAGCAAGAAGATCTGCCCACCTTAGTGAGGAAGGAGGCAAACTCAAAAGCATGATACAAGGGGAATACAGAGTCCAAAAAAATCTAATTTTAACCCCTGGAAATGACACTCTGGGCCCAAACATCTGAGATTTCTTGGGACCAGAAGGCCAATAAAGCCGGCAGACGTTCCTTTCCCTGACAAGTGAGGGAACCCCTTCTCTTGGAAGAGGGCTTGAAGCCAGAGTTGGCTGTCTTGGAAATACACATCTTCTGACAATGGGATAAAACCTACTGTAAAATTGTTAGATCTCCTTTTACATTGCATAACTTAAGCACTTGACCCCCAGGCCAATTCTGACATTTCTCTCATACATGTAAAAATCAGCATTTTTTTGCTAGAAAGAAATTAAAGCTCTAGAACCAACAAACATTATATATTTTTAGATAATAAAATGGTGAGTGTTACACGATGGTTGCACAGCATTTTTTCACAAATGTAAAAAAAAAATACATTTTAATGAATTTTAGTGCACACAAACACAATATAATACACATTTTTGGTAAAATATAAAAGATGATGTTATACCAAGTAAATATATACCAAACATGTCACACTTTAAATTTATGCACACCACTGGAATGGCTGCAAACTACATTACATTAAATTATCCATAAGCGACAATTTCAAAGGCTTTACAGGTTACCAGTTTAGGTCTGATGCTAGAATTATTGCTCTCACTTTGATGGTTTTGTGGCGATACCTCACATGTGTGGTTTGATCACCCTTTACATATGTGTATGGGACCTACATGCATGTTCGCATTTGTGCGTGAGCACAGGGGGACAGGGATCAATCTAATTGCTATCACAGGGGATAAACAACGTCCCTTGTGGTAGCATGGGCCATGGCTATTAGACCCCATATCTATCCTCTTGCTTCCAAAGCATCTGATGAAGCAGAGATCAGTTTGGTCAGATGTTGTATATGCCAGTAACGACTTTCAGCAAACCAAAACCAGAAGTGACTAAATCCTCATCGCTTGCAGTTTCTGATATCACGGAAGAAGGGCAGAAACTTCTGTTTCTGACACTTTTCTCAGCGAATGCGATCCGAGTGGTCACATCATTACCAAGCTCCACAGAAGAGCCCAGTAAAGGCAGTTGCAGAAGGGGGGGTGGGGGTTGGAACCCCCTTCCACCTCTTGTAAAAGTGATTACTTTTAGAAACATACCATCATGGTTGTGGCTGCAACCTTGGTCCTGGTATAAACACTTTAACCTGAGGGCCTACATATACTGGCAGGAAGTGGTTAAAATGGTTCTAAAGCCAAAAGGTTTTTACCTTAATTCATTACCTGAATTAAGGTAAAAAAAACTTTTACTAGCTTTCCCCCCACACCCCTCTCTAAACACTCACCTGAGTTCTGTTACTGTATCGATCCAGCGCTGTGCCCATCTGCAGCAGCCTTGGTCTCACCCTGCTCTTACAGACATAGAGGCAGCAGCAGGCCAATGGCTCACGCTGCTGTCAATCAAATCCTTTGAGGAGGTAGTGGGGACAGGCCAAGCCTTGCTGTATGCGTCTATGGATATACACACCTCGCCTCAGGAGCATACCCCCACATGTATCCCCATAGCAAATGGCTTGGTGACACACAGAAAAGAAGAGGAGTGGAGAGCATTGGAGGGGAGCCCCAGAAGAGAAGGCAAGGAGCCACCCTGTGTAATACCATTGCACAGAGCAGAGCAGGTAAGTATAACACTCTTTTTTATTTTAGAAAAAAAAAAATATAGTATCACTTAAAAAAAAATAAAAAAATTGCAGTTGACTTTTTTGCAGGGTGTATTCTGGACTCTTCAGCAGGGAAAATTCCACATAGTTATGTATATATGTTTATGAGGGGCTGGGAAGCTGTGTTTGCCATAATTAACACTGTCTGTACTGTGCAAGCTGATCTTCATTATCAGCTGTAACTAGGTTTTAGCACTGGCTGTCATAACAAATGTAGAAACCTGCTGCATTGCATGTTAATGAGACAGATTTGGGAAAAGCTCACTCTGCCATTGTTAAAAAAAAACCTTGTCAGTCAGCCATGACACCTTGCCCTGGGAAACATCTAAAAGGTAGGGAATATTAAAAAAAAAGAAATGCTGTATGAATGGGAACACATAAAAAAACATATAGTGTGTTTCTCTCAAATTTGACTGCAAAAAAATATAAATATGCTTTAAATTTGGAGCTGGAGGTCAGAGAAGGAGGAACAGAACTTTTCCTAGTGTCAGGAGCGCAAGTCTTTTTTCCTGGGGAAGGAGAATACTCCTACTCCAAGTGATTTCTTCGATGTACTTCTCTAAGGAAGTACCAAAGAGGCATTCTCCCTCGAAGGACATTCACTTGAGGTGTCTTTTGCATGGGAGTTCCACTGGCCAGTGTTTGAGCCAAGGGATCCCTAACATATTAATAGAGAGGAGGCTCATCCTGGAGATCTGGCGAAATTTATTTAAAATAGTATAAGGCTACAAATAAAAACTACAAGTGGTGCTGCACGGAGGGTGTCAAGGTCATGTGCTTAGCTCAGACAGTCAGTGTCTGACAGACAGCCATAGAGGCAAGTGCAGGTTGCATGGCAGGGCCTCTCAAAGAAAATAAGACCTTAAAAAGGGCTTCTAACCTCTTGTCCACAGAGTTCTTGAACACGGGATTGTCCTCTACAGGGACCATTAGAGTCTTGTTAAGGCAAGAAATATACTATATTGCCCACAGTATTGGGAAAGCCCTCCATATCATTGGATTCAGGTGTTCCAATCACCTCCATGGCCACAGGTGTATAAAATCAAGCACCTAGGCATGCAGACTGCTTCTACAAAATTTGTGAAAGAATGGGTCACTCTCAGGAGCTAAGTGAATTCAAACGTGATAGGTTGCCACCTGTGAAATAACACAGGCAGCTGTATTCAACCGAGCTATGCTAGTGGAGGAGACACCATAGAAAGGAGCAGCTCAGTCAGATCATACAGGTTACACTATATATTCGTTAAATAGTTCTGGTTTGTCAGGCCTTTCCAAACATCTGTCAGCCCCCTGAAGAAGGGAGAGTGTTTTCTCCCGAAACGCGGTGGATTAAAGTTCTTGTCTTTACTCTCAATAAATGCCTCATAATCTACCATTAGAAGTGCATACTTTTGGACATCTGGCGCTCCTTCTTTTCTACTATTCCAAGTATACCTGTGCATTAAGTCCATCCGTGAAATTTCCTTGCTACTAAATATTCCATGGTCAACTATTAGTGGTATAACAAAGTGGAAGCAACTGGGAACAACACAACTCAAACTGGTAGGCCGCATAAAGTGACAGAGAGAGGTCAATGCATGCAAGTATACAGTGCGCAGAAGCCGCCAACTGTAGGAGAGTCAATAGTTAAAGACCTCAAAACTTTGTGTGGTCTTCAGATTAGCACAACAGTGCATAGCGAGTTTCATGGAATGGGTTTCCATGGCCAAGCAGCTGCATCCAAGCCTTAAGTCACCAAGTGCAATGCAAAGCGTCTGATGCAGTGGTGTGAAGCACGCCACCTCTGGACTCTAGAGCAGTGGACCCGTGTTCTCTGAAGTGGAAAATCATGTTTCTTTTTCTGGCAATCCAATGGACGTGTCTGGGTTTGGCAGTTGCCAGGAGAATGGTACTTGCCTGACTGCATTGTGCCAAGTGTAAAGTTTGGTGGAGGGGGATTATGGTGTGGGGGTTGTTTTTCAGGGGTGGATTGGGCTTCGCCTCTTAGTTCCAGTGAAGGGAACTCTTAAGTCATCAGCGTACAAAGACATTTTGGACAATTTTATGCTCCCATCTTTGTGGGAACAGTTTGGGGATGGCATCTTCCTGTTCCAAAATGACTGCGCACCAGTGCACAAAGCAAAGTCCATAAAGACATGGATGAGCGAGTTTTGGGTGGAGGAACTTGACTAGCCTGCTAGTCCTGACCTCAACTTGATAGAACACCTTTGGGATGAATTAGAGCAAAGACTGCAAGCCAGGCCTTCTTGTCCAACATCAGTGCCTGACCTCACAAATGCACTTCTGGAAGAATGGTCAAACATTCCGATAGACTCTTAAACCTTGTGGACAGCCTTCCCAGAAGAGTTGAAGCTGTTATAGCTGCAAAGGGTGGGCCAACTCAATACTGAACCCTACGGACTAAGACTGGGATGCCATTAAAGTGCCTGTGTGTAAAGGCAGGCGTTCCAATATTTTTGTCAATATGGTGTAGCTGTGTCAATTACAGGACCATCCATTTCTGCAGAAAACCCACCTCAATAGCATATTGCTAAACAAAACATGTAGATGGGTGGGACCAGTCATAAACCCTTAATTCTCAGTTTTAGAGTTCTCTTCACCCTCACAAACCTCCAGTTCTAAGATTCAGAGTTCTCCTCACCATCACAAACCTTCAATCCCCAGTTTCAGTTTTCCTCACCATCACAAACCTCTAATTCTCAGTTTCAGAGATCTCCTCACCATTACATGCCACCAATTCTCAGTTTCAGAGTTCTCCTCAACATCAAAGCCCCACAATTATCTGTTTCAGAGTTGTTTCAATTACTGTAGTCCCCTTTCTTAGACAGTAGAAAAGTTTAGTGTGTTTGTGGCTGAGTTGTATTCAACTGAGCTGAAATCTATTTTTCCAGAGTTTTTCAGGTTCTCCCTAAACCTGGTAGGTTGATTGTTCCTACCTGTTAGTGGAAGAATCTTTCAGCAAATAGTGTGAATAGGGTTAACCTCTGGAGTTATGAATGTTTATCCAACCCAGCCAATCTCTTGGGGAGCTTGCTCAAAATGTATGGATTTAGAGAGGATAAATATTTGGGAAAATATGTTTTGTGCTTTGGGTATCCTGCACTCCAACCCTGTTCTCTGCATTTCATCTGCATTCAGCATTGCACGGTAAAAAGGCTCTGGACTGGAGTCTAAGTTTGTTCATTAACTTCGGGTAAAATGGGTAGGCAGTGTCTGAACATATAGGGGGAACCAGTTATTTCCAGTGGGACCCATTTATGTTATCACTAAATGATAAGGACATTTGGCAAGATCTCAGCTTTACAGCTTAAAGTGTTACTAAACCCATAACCCTGCATTCACTATATCTGGTTTCTCACAGTACACGGAACACGGAATTGCAATTATTTTAGTAAATATAAACTGCTAAATACCTTTTCTCATCAGCAGTTAGAGCAGTCTTGTGACTTCTATCAGTGTTCAGCAGAGCACTGGTTCTTTCTGCTCTAGGAGGATACAGAACCCCTGACCTCTGTCTGGATAGTGCTGATTGGCCTTGTGCTGATCACATGCATTTTCCCATTGAAAAAAAAAAAACCTACAAAAAAAATACACACTAAACTGAGCATGTGCAGAATGGCTATGGTTCAGTCTGTCTTATCAGGAGATAAGACGTGGACATTTGAACAAGAGGTGAAGGACCAAACTGCCTTTTTACACAATGTAGAGGATTAACCTTTTAAGTTCCACAGTGAGTATAACAAGCATGCTTTACTGCATATACAGACTGATTTTACTGTTGTGGGTTTAGTAACACTTTAACAGGTTCCCACCTGGCCTATAGCCAGATGGCGGCCTGCAAAACACCTCATCCCTCCGGGGGGACGCCATATGGAGTCCTTTCAGGCATGCACAGTTTGCCTGTCTGCAGTGCCACGCAGTGGCGTGATCTGTCACCGGCCGTGTACCTCGGACACGGCCGATGACAGATCTGTGTACCGGCCCCGTTGCCAGTACCATGTGACCTGCTTTGACCAATCACAGCAGGTCACATGACAGTTGTATAGAATGGATTGCTTCCTTTCATGCCATCCATTGTATACAAGTGTGTCTAGCTGTGAATGGTCACAGCGATCACATGCACAAGCTGGGCCAATCACAGCCCAGCTGTGTCATGTGATTAGCTGTGGCCAAATCACAGTTAAGAAAAAAAAAAATCCTGAAAGAATCTGTCATTCAGGTAAATGCTTGCTTATAGCAAAGTAATTCTTTGTTTTAGGCAAATTACGTAAAAAAAACTTCCCCAAAGTAGTACAGTGTTACTATGGTAAAATGATACTACTTTGGTCATAGTGAAATATGAAAACAAATCTTAAAAAAGAGAAAAAAAATGTAATAAAAAATAATTAAAAAAAAATTTAGTTTTTTTTCGTACTGTCACCAGTCAGTGTCCCTGATCACCGCCATGCCAGTTATATGATGATGCCGTGCTGCACTGGTGACAGTATGTAAAAAAAGAATAGTGAAAATCATTTTTTTTATTTCTTCAAAAATTATGGCAAAAAAAATTGCAACTTCAAAAAACTTACCATGCCTGTTTTGAAATACGTCGGACTGTCTACTTTGCAAAAAGGGGTCATTTGGGGGATATCTGTACTGTTCTGACATTCTTGGACCTCAAGAAATTAGATTGGCTGTCAGTACTTCAGAGCTTGATCAATATTCAGATCTATACCATAGTTTGTGAACTCTATAACTTTCCTACAAACTAAAAAATACATCCTAATTTGGGTATTTTCACCAAAGACATGTAGCAGAATACATCTTGGCCTAAATTTATGAAGAACAATTATTTATTTGCAAACTTTTATAACAGAAACAAAGAAAAATGTGGGGGGTTTTTTTTCAAAATTTTTGGACTTTTTTTTGTTAATTTAGCAAAAAATAAAACCCCAGCAGTGATTAAATACCACCAAAAGAAAGCTCTAGTTGTGTGAAGAAAATGATAAAATTTTAGTTTGGGTACAGTGTTGTATGACCGCGCAATTGTCATTCAAAGTGTGAGAGCGCTGAAAGCTGAAAATTGGCCTGGGCAGGAAGGGGGTAAAAGTGCCCGGTATGGAAGCGGTGTTAAAGTATGTGTGATCCCTAACCTTGTAATCCCATTTAGTTTAAAACAGAAATGCTAGGGGCAATATATATATATATATATATATATATATATATATAAAATATACAGTATATATATATATGTATATATATATATATATATATATATATGTTTTAATTCAAAATGCTTTTTTCTTCTTTTATAAATGACATGACCTCTGTTCTCAGCTGCATAAGGGGCTTAGAGGTGGGGGTGGAGGCTTCATGTGACAATGTGGGGGGGGGAGGCGTCACAACAGCAGGTTGAACAGAGCGCAGTCACAGTCTAGTTTAGTAAAAGGCAGAGACATACATTGATATACATTGTGATGAGGTGGGCAGGGGGGACTCGTCAGCAGTAGGCAAAGAAACAGCAGTACACTGTTCTCCCCAGTGAAGAGCTGTGCAGGGGGTGTTTGTCAGCAGGAGGCAGAGAAACAGCAATACAATGATTTTCCCAAATCTGACCGCTGGAGTATAAGCAGAAAAGAAGCAAACTGGGAAGGGTGTGTTTCCATGCCTGGCGTGGTCAATTTGAAATAGGAAAGCAGGCAGAATGGCAGGACCACATGGTACTTCACACAAAGAGAACAGGATCCTTTTTAATACAAGTACATGGTAAGAGCGAAATATTTTTTGGACAGCAGGTTTAGGACCCCTGTGGGATTTTTGCTGCTGTCTGGGACTTTTAGCTTCAGCTTGTTCAATTTTCTCCAGTTTTACACAATGGGGTTGATTTATTTAAACTGGAGACTACAAAATCTGCTGCAGCTCTGCATAGAAAGAAACCAATCAGCTTCCAGGCTTTTTTTTAGCCAAAGTTTAACTGAACAAGCTGAAGTTAGAAGCTGATTGGCTACCATGCATATCTACACCAGATTTTGCACTCTCCAGTTTTAGTAAATCAACCCCATTATGTCAGTCACTTGTGGCATACACATTATGGTGATAATTCATAGCCATGGACATTATGGTGGACATTCATGACTATTCACATTATAGCAGTCATTAATTATGTAACTGCACTGAAACAATCAAGTACCAGGTGTAACCGGGACTGTTCCTAGCTTAGCCCTATCCACCCTAGAGAAATAATAGAATTGATTCTGGAGTTATAAAATTGCCCTATACATATTGTGGACTGAATATTTATCTTTTTAGAGTATTACACAAAGCCCACCTCTAGCAAAAACTTTTTATATGTCTTTCTGTCACAGGGATAGTGAGTGAGGGGAACTCTTTACAGTGGGGTCACAGGCAAATGCCTTTCAAGCCTTTCCCCACTTTGTGAAAAAATAAAATAAAAGGTATTGGCGTTAAAGGATAACTTTCCAAACATTTTTGGCTGAAGGTAACAGGATAGATAGATAGATAGATAGATAGATAGATAGATAGATAGATAGATAGATAGACCTTCCATGTTTTTACCACAAGGTAAAGTTTGACTTTTATGGACATTAATGTACAAATGTAGATTTCTTTGCTGAGTTGCTCTTTAT